TTGGAAAACTCTATCAATAAGTGTATGGTAAACCTTATTTCTACGCTTTATTTACACAAACCGAAATTTTTACGTTCGGTATTGAACAGAGTAAGAAGTACCAACATATAGCAGAATACGTCCCTCGTCAGATGGATAAAGGCGACACAATATTTCTCAAGATTAGACTTTCACCTCAGTCTGTGATCTTTTGGACAAGTTTTCAATTTCTTACATTGTAATGCCTCTGATGGCTCAGTTTCGTATAAATGAGAAAACTGTTAAGTGGCTAACAATCCGCCTTCGTATAAGTTACGAAACCGGCAGAAGTATAGTGGCACGTGACCTGGCTAGCTGAGGAAGGCCTCAAACATAATACATTTACCAGTACTACTCACAAGGTCTATGAAAGCTCAAGACTGGCCACTACCGGCTCCGCCCATTTTGTAGCTCATTAGACAGGCCTATTCATCAACCTTATGAGCAGTACTGAATCATACTTCGATGTCTTAAATATCGTTCTAATTGAAAAATAATGCGATCGTTAATCAGCACATTCAGTTGAAGAGTCTTATCAACGACCGGGTCAAGTGACTTTCAGCTGTGTATCTCAAGAACACCAAATTAATCCGCAGTTTTTATCACAGCATAATTAAGTTGTTTACCAGATGAGCGAGCTTGACACAAGACACTCATATGAAAATGAATCGTGTACTCAGGTTTTGATACAGTAGCGAATCAGGAGTGTAATCGTATCGCTCAGTCAAGTGCTCTAGATAGATTCACATCCAACATGGTGATATTTGGATACCTTGTACAGACAGAGCACCACAACTTTCAAACACGTTCATAAGACTACCCGAACAGACTGTAGCAAGCCATTACTCGACTTTTTTGTCATTGGTTGAATCGGGATGGATGATTTGTTAGATCTTCAAAGAAGTGAACATCAGAGTGCCAATCATTGACGTTTTGCCGCATCGTTTTGTATTATGAAATCACCAACCAGATGCTAACACATATTGTGTTGAAATATTGCTAGTAATTGTCTTCCTTTCTTTGAAGACATTGAGCTGCGAAGCTTTGTCAGTACCTGTAATCGTATCTGGTTCGCGGGCTTTATTTATCGATCACTTGTGGTACCGACCAGATCGATTTTTCAGCCCGCAAAGCGTTGTCGAAATGCAGTGGTTCCAACTGCTACAGCTTTCGTTCACCGAGAATAAGGAAAATAAGGGAATAAGAGCCACCAGTCGGAGGCGATAGCCCAATGATAAGTCCTCACTCTCTCGGGCAGCCAGTCAACACGTATGACCACGTGATGTGGGTCCCGTGATTGAAGGATAAGTGGCGCTATATCCCGCCTAAGTGCGAGTTAATCATACTGCTGATCAGCTGCCAGTAGCCGAACGGTCAATTATTCAAAATACTGGTTGAGATCGCTGGATCGAAACTCCCTGGTATTTCATGATATGCTCAGTGCTGATGATTGAGAAAATTGATGAAACGCTCGGGTTCCTGTTGGGTGTAATTATTCCGGTGAGTTCACACCACTGGACTCGAGTTTCGCTCATATTAGAGCTCATCAGCAGCGCATATCGAGTGACCATGCCGGGGTTCGAAGCCCAGACATCAGACATGCGAGGCGAGCGTGAAGCACGTGTGAACACGTTCGCCTGTTCAGATGTGAGAATTCAGATGCGCCCAACGTGCGTTGTGCTTCACGCTCGCCTCGCATGTCTGATGTCTGGGCTTCGAACCCCGGCATGGTCACTCGATATGCGCTGCTGATGAGCTCTAATATGAGCGAAACTCGAGTCCAGTGGTGTGAACTCACCGGAATAATTACACCCAACAGGAACCCGAGCGTTTCATCAATTTTCTCAATCATCAGCACTGAGCATATCATGAAATACCAGGGAGTTTCGATCCAGCGATCTCAGCCAGTATTTTGAATAATTGACCGTTCGGCTACTGGCAGCTGATCAGCAGTATGATTAACTCGCACTTAGGCGGGATATAGCGCCACTTATCCTTCAATCACGGGACCCACATCACGTGGTCATACGTGTTGACTGGCTGCCCGAGAGAGTGAGGACTTATCATTGGGCCATCGCCTCCGACTGGTGGCTCTTATTCCCTTATTTTCCTTATTCTCGGTGAACGAAAGCTGTAGCAGTTGGAACCACTGCATTTCGACAACGCTTTGCGGGCTGAAAAATCGATACCAGAAAATGAAACAGTTGCACGGTGCTGATAGGTTGGTGGTTTTCCATTCGACGTATTCCAAAATCCCGAACACCAGGTGACTCAGACATGCTGAATAAAACTACGCAAAGCGTTCTGCTGCATCAACTGTAGCAAGCAATTAATGCTGAAGTTTGACTAAAGCAACGGGGGTCCTGTCACCGTAACAAGTTTGGCTGGCGTCTTTTCAAATAGGTGCGTATTCGTACCGAATTTGCATCTTCCATGCAAGCGAATTTATGCTCCAGAGCACCATATAGAGGTTGACGACAAGAAAATCACCGCCACTCTGTGGTAGTCGATTCAGCTCATTCGCACTACACTCGCAAGCCTACGGAGTGAAAACGGTCAGTTGCATCCATGACCTAATCGGCGAACACCAAGCCAGGAAAATCCCGAAAGTTCATCTTAGTAAGCTTTGTAATTCTAAGACCACCAGTAGTTTGACAAGTTTCCCTGAGACGGAGACTTCTCAAACCGTTCCTAGCGTTTCCGAATCCTGAGACTTGAACCCACTGAAACAAATCACCCGGAAATAAGGACTTGCCCAGCATAAGTTATAGCAGTTGGTAAATTTCCGAAACAGAGTTATCGTGACCGAGGTGATAAGCAGACGGGCAACTACAACGTCTTGTGTATTGTCACCGAACACCAGAGTGCAATGACACTCATTTGGGAAGAGTGGATTAGGTGATTAGTCGACTGAGGGTTTCCTGAGCATTAATGAACTGACGATAGAAAAGAAAGTTACTGGTGCGAAAACTTGAGTTGGTCAAACTGATATGTAGTGTTGAAACAATGCCCCACACTAATTCCCTTCCGGCATAACAGACTAAAAGCTCGAAAATACGTCCTACCAGTACTGGTGTCCAATGAATGGGAAGTGCGCAACCATAGCGGATAGGTGGTTTCATCAGTCCTCAATTGAGTGACAAATGGCCGAATCGGTATAAACATACCACTGTAGGGGGAGAAAATGGACACCGTCGGTTGCGGCCGAATCGCTCCAGGAAAGAGGAGGAGCACATATAAGGTTACGAAACGAACAAACACTGATTGGAGAATCTGTCATGATCTCTCAGTGTCACTCAGCAGGTGGGGAATGTCAACGACAGATACATTTACACTTCATCCCATACTTCAGTGAGGACCAGAAGCTGGGGATAACTTAAATGCCTAAATGAAATACAGCATCTAATGGACGGCAGGTGAAGGCCTACGTAATTCGATTGGGACTGACATGTCTTGATAGAATATCTGCCCATATTGAAACTGTCCATTTCATTAGTCACAATTACGACCTGCATCAGAGTAATGTGCAGAAACGTCAAGAGTTTCTCGACAAATCGTCAGTGACTCAAATTTCACAGCAGTTCTGATCACGAATATGAACCGATTACATAACATTTAGAGTTGACATTAAAGACGTGACTGCCTTGACACTGATCGCGACCCTGCACCATCAAATTTTGAATTGTGAAAGGATACCTACATTATGCATGTGGTCAAAATATACACCCAGATCTGATAACCTGTGATACGTCAGCGCGTCGGTGACATTTACTGGTAGTTCAAGACGGTCAACAGTAGCACCACCCCATATTGTTTGTATATGTATTCATGATACTGCATCCGCATCGACAAGTTGACGAACGTAGCGAAAGAAATTCACTCACCTACACACCGGAATAAGCGTACAGGGTGTCACAGAATTAAGATGACTTGAACTTCACCAGTGGCGTGAAACAGGCCTGAGTTAATCAATTTATAACTAGCAGCGTTGTAGGTGTTGCTTTCGTGAAGGACAACGCTGGCCTGCGATTTAATCGACAACCTAATGAACACGTGCTAAACATGACAAGCTTGAAGCTAACGGATACTGTATAAGTACCGCGTAGGCATTTCGTGCCTCTCAGAAGTCCGGTTGCGCGGCTCCAGATAATGATCCATCACGGACCCTGGTAAAAACTCCTCATTCTACCCCAGTGGGCCAGAGCATACCTCTGGCCAAAACACATTTCTAACTACCCTGATCGTTGGCATCTTTGCGTCCTCAAGAATGGTAGTGGTACACTTCAAAGAGATTCTCGCAAGTCAGTTGATCATCCCAGTTTTTTGTCTCACTACTTCACTGACCGACCCATACATCACAGAGGAATTTCGTAAACTCCTGCAAGCCGTACAAGCGGAACGCATTCTTCAGAGACTTTCGACAGCGTACTACTCCAGCCAAGGTGAGAATTGGCAACGCAAGATTACAGATGAGTATAAGTCTGTATGTAAGTTTTTCTTATGGTGATGACAGTTACCAAGAGTTCATTCAGCCGTAGCGTCTTAAATACCAGATTGCCGAAGCAGAGAAATTTTTGACCATCGAGTAGACCATTCACCTGTGCAACAATACAAACTGGGCAAACAAGTTTCTTTCCCGCAACTTGTCTCTTATTTACGGCCAGACACTAACATTTTGCAAAACCAGTCACGTCTGATTACCTCAGTTCCTGGTTGTCAGTATGCTAAGAGCTCAATAAAAACTGACATAGTTGTAGGGCATTGAGGCACTGTTCATCCGGATGTTTTTGTAGATGACGCGGACACCAGGTTCCGATGGCAGTCTGGTCCAGCCACTCCATAATGTACTCGGAAACATAGTCCTTGATGCCTTCAGAGCAACTTTATATGGATTTCGCTTTCAACTGCAAATGGACAATTATTTTCATGGAATGGTTACCCTAACCAACCGTCTTTCAGAATATAGTCACAAGACACCATGCGTCGACTGATCAATTACAGTAATATGTATATTGGTAATTCGAAACTGTAAATACGGCATCAAATCACAAGCAGCCATTTCTCTGAACTGAAATATAAAGACGATTGGTAGAGAGCAGTTTCCCCGGGGATGGAGGGTAGAGAACAGTTAAGTAAGTTGACGAGTTGATACAGGATACAAGTAATCACAGTATGTCTCCATAAACTCCCCGCGTTTTGGGCAAAACAACAAACTCAATTTGAGCCGATCAACCAAAACAAGGATAGTCAAAAATGAGACGTTTCTCTGAGAAAAAACAAGGCCAAGTGAGCTGCAGACGAGAACCATTCAAGTGACTGATCAAAGGCGAATATGCACTGGCGAGTGAGTAAAGCGTGATATACGAAGGTGTGTTCAACCTGGAGAATAGGAGGTGGCACAGCTTGGATGGTGGCTGGGATGTATTGTGTCGTATAAAACGGATGTGACAATGATACAGGTTTGCCTGAATAGAGATGGTTTGGTAGTCCATGAAAGCGAGTCGGGTTTTTACAATGAACTCAAGGTGTGACGATGGAGTTGAGGCATAAAAAGGGGTTCAAAATAGGGCTGTTTTCTCTCTGGTCTGTTCCTGAACGTAGGCACTGAAACGCTTCAAAAACCGAGGATATTCCCTTCGAGCTAAGGTTCGCAGTCCGGCTGCCGGAACCCAGCCACCAGGATTGATGTTGGCAACATAAACGAGGCGAGTACGGAGGCGATCACGTGGAAGCGAATCAATGGATACGTTGTGCGTGATGGCCACTGAAGAATCGATAACAGTCTGACAAAACAGAACCACATCGAGACCTAGGCGAATCATCGGTGTGGAGCTTTCGGCAATTTTCTCTGACAGATAGTCAGTGGACATGTTGACCACCATCCAGCTATCCAACACAGTGACTCTATCTGAAGTCACTGGGCCGTTACCTTCGGACGACGACTGGAAGGGTACACTTACTTGTCGCAGATGAGACCAGAATAGGGAATCTCGTTGCGTTGTGGGCCAGACGCGTTTGTAAACCTGACAACGGAGAAAGATCAAAAGGCGATAAGCGGTGGTGAAGGAATATGTATTAAAAATCCTGAGACCATTAAATATAAAGACGTCGTTTGTTCCAAATGAAGATGGGATGTTATGAGTACAAAACATGAAGCTGGCCTACCCTCGTATGAAGTCCCCCCAATGTCAGTAAGCCTGCAGCGGTTGGCATGCAAAAACGAGTAACCCAGAATCCTCGATGAAGCTGAACGGCGAGTATGTAAGATCACATTCAGGCAACAGTCAAAGACCACCGTACAACTTTGCAAGTTACACTGTCTGGGGCAGTAGCTATGGATATATTCTCGAAATGAACCCGGAACGCAGTTCGCGAAAATCCGGAAAAAACCGAAGCAATTATTCGAGTGTCACGGCCTTAAACTGTTTACCAATACAAAACACAGCATTTAGCTATCTTGTCTTAATACCCTAGATATCTTCAATAGGAGTAATCTGGCCTAATCTGCTCATAGGCATGAGTCATAATTACCTCACGATGATAGAGGAAAAGCGCACACTCTCTCAAACTCGACACCTAAGTGTGCATGAAGAAGTCTCAAGGGTCGACACGTCGGTTACATCCACCGTCCTTTTCCACCTAATTCAACTTGTTTACTTTTCCAAGCAGATAACGTTGCAGCAGAGCACGGTTACCGTTACGCTTCCCTGCAAACTTGACTTTCAATCTGGTCGGTTCAGTTCGAACTGTTTCACTCGCGTGAGGTTGGCTCAAACCGAACCAAAATACTTTCCACAACCTCATATTCTAGTTTTGGTGAAGAACGCACAGACGTTTGCATCCTCGTAGGGCAAACATGCCTAAGACCAATCAAAGTTTGCCGCGTTAGAGAGCCGACCATAATGCGCAGACACGAATACCTTGTCTTCTGCGATTAGCTAAAACAGCCACGCAACTGGTGTTGCTATAGGGACAACAGCACACGGTAACCATCATTCCGTAATTTGCCTCTCCGGTTGGTTAAAAGGCTTGGGTGTTTCCATTACAAATTGGAAGTGCACATTGTAAGGGGATAATGGATAATCATGGTGGTTTCATAGGTACGAAAAAACGGATAAATTGTTTGAGGAATTTCGACATTTTATAAGTCATGCCACCAGTGTGATTTGAAGATGACAGGCTCAACCGGGGTTTTTGACAACGTGACGCTTGCACGGTCGTAGTCGATCAGCCATGGGGATCTTAGTTAGGGGGTGTTTCACGTTAGCTAGCAGGTATTTGTGGTATGTGATTGTGACTGCGGACAGTGATATGACATCGGAACCACAATGAAGAGACTACATAAATCAGAATGGATGTTGACACGGTCAAAATGTGGAATTTCGGTGGCGCCACACGAACGCTCTCCGGCATACGCACACAGACATAGGATGATCAATGCTCTGCACACTGCAAAAGTCAAGTGTACGCACACATATAAGATCTCTGGTGTTTATGCAAAGGCCTGAAAACAGGTATGCTATCCTACCTGGTGCAGCACAACGGTATCATCGCCACAGACTTCGAGGACAGTTGGTGGGCGATCGACGGTGAATTCCCAGTCCATTCTGTATTGGACATCCCAAAAGTAGGTACATATTTCACGCGCAGTGACACCCGGAACAGTGTGGACAGCCTGTGCAAAAAGAACGTAGCCTTGTGGTGCAAAGATGCAAGCAGTAATGGGGGAGAGTAATCGATACAGAACTGTGGAAGATACGGCATAGCAACCAATGTTCGTTTCGGTGTCTGTCCCCATCGGGAAACATAACAGAACAGGAAGTTGCAGGTGACTGTTCAAAAGTCCAGGGCAATGCAGATAGAAAACGCACACGAATTGTTCTCCCTATAAGGTGGAGAGAGGTCGCTTCAGGTAAGACACTAACATGTTCGACTATACCCGCTGAGGAAATTCGAGACTCACAAAAGTGAGTCAGGTTGAATTTGATAAAATGAGTCGCGTGAAGTAGACCATAGTATTCAACTTTGGCTTCTGACACCAACCCCCCCCCCTCAGTTCTGCGCCGCTTAGTTTCCAGACAGTAAATAGTGAAAATTAGTTTATTTTTACCATGTGTCTGCAAACACAGGAGCTAGCCTTTGAACGTGTAAATACACGTGAACCGACTGAGAACTGAATAGCAGACACCCGTCGTGAACGGGGTTGTGAAATAAAAACGATAGCCTCTGCATATCAAGTCCTATATTAAGAAACGAAAAGTTTCACATAGTGAAGGGTGGACAATCCCACAATGGGACTCCTGAACACACGTGCAAGTTGTATGGAGTGAAGTAACCGGGTATGTTCAACTCCGATGAGCAAACTCATACTGCCTGAGTATGAATGGGTTAGGGATCGACCTTAATAGTTTTTTTCGTGCGGACACTTGTCTGCCCACCTACTTTTACCATAGGTCCGAAAAGCGCCCATCAAGATGTTCATTCACTTAATTCTATGGATGACCTCTGAAACCCATCAACTGCATGTGAACACAATGCTCGTATTTTGGTCAGATCAGCTCAGTCCATACTGATCGCATCTGTTTCGGATTATTGACTGATTTTTCAAGCTTATTACTACCACCACATGTGAAGCAGTTTATCGTATTTTCACAAACTCTTGCGCGTTAAAAAAACGTTCTCGTGAAAGTTGAAACAATCAAGAGAACCCTCACTGATGGTATTGCAACGTTGCGCGCTATACATCAAAAGTCTACAAGTGTGTATCAAACTACACTAGTCCTGTAGTCCATACTCTCAGCTGATTACAAATCGATACCAGTGATTCGGCTCATTAAAACGAAATAAGTTCTCAGTCACGGTTGTTTAACTCGTAAACGGCATAACAATGAGAAGCCGTCACTTGTTTGATGTAGTCCTTTGAGGTGCAATCACAGTAAATTCCTTGACGGGAGAGAATGAGATGAATTTGAATGTATTCGTCCAGCTGTAACACCTTTTTGGTGAATGGCTGCCATATCAAACGAAGGAAGCGCGTGGTCTGAAGTACTGCCAAGCCGCCCAAGCCTACAGAGAAGCAGTGAAGATTGAGAGACTGGGTTCGAACCACGTAACTTCTGGCCAATAAGTTCGCGTTTTAACCACTGAACTACCTGGGCTGACAATAGAGATCAGTCGATATAAACACCAGAGAATAAGACCGACTGAAGGACAGGGCCAAATGAGTTTGATTGCGACCCATGGTTAACAAATGATTTAGGGGGTAAATAAACGGTTGAGTTGAGTCCGGCTGAAGAGTGTACTGATGGTACGCAGCCCTCGCAAAACAGCCTGGAGAGGCTGATGGCTGAATACAGTTAACCGAAATGGGTACTGACCTGTCACAGAGCACAGAATAATCAATAAAAATAATCGTTCAGCTGTGACACCCTTTCGGTGCCTAGCTGTCATGTCACCCAAAAGAAGCATGAGGACTGGGATACTGCCAGGTTGCCCAAGCCTAGACGGGTGGAGTCGAGGGGCAGAGGTCGGGTTCGAACCACGGACCTTCCGGTCAGCAATTTCGCGCTGAGCCACTGAGATCTCGCTCCCGACACAAAAAGACATCACCGTAGCCCAATAGGTGTTGAAATTCCAGCGTTGAACGTGTAAAATGTGGTCGCTTGAGTAGCACTTATCTGTGTGGATGAAACGATCCAGAACAATTGTCTTGGCTTAGTATTTCTGTCCCAGGTTTCTGAACATGACAAATGGGGATTCTTGCGTGTATGCAAAAAGAGAGTCAGTATTAGTGCATCGAGGGAGTCATTATCACGTGACTATCGTCAAATAAGACATGAAATAAACTCAACTTTCAGCCGAATTTCGGAAGTCGTTAGCAACTCGTCCCCAAGTTGCACAAAATTAATCGCTTATCTTCATTTGTGGGTACCAGCTGAACAAAAAACTTTTGAAGCCGACTAATTCTGTCGATGTGCCACAGTTGAGCAAGCAACAAGCTACACTCTTTCCAAACTGGACGCCCACACAAATCTGAGCTCGCTGGGCTGGTGTCCCAGGTGTTAGTAGTTTCAGTGGCGACTGCACCTGTACAGTGTTCTGGGAGAGGAAATATTGCAACAGATGGGAGGGGTGGAGTGCGAGAATGCACTATTGTAGTAGAAGTGGTAATACAATAAGAAAGCCTTGAATATTGTTGCATGAGAGATGGAAACACTTGATCGTACAAAGTTGTATACCCCTACTGCTTACTAGAACGCTTCACTATAGGATATGAATTATCGGGAAACTTATTAACATATGGACAGTGAAGTCACTAGAAGGACGGTCGAAGTAATGGCGAGTTGGCAAGAGGTACCGGTCACGACAGCACAAACAAACCTACCTGTAGGGGGTCCAGGACCACACCATCTTCTGTTTCCACCTCACGTTTATAAATGATCATGTCACCGTCTTGGGTGACGACCTGCCAATCCCCGATTGTCTGAGTACCATCGTCCGACTGACCGAACGTATCAACCAGACCGGATGGGTGATGCTGCAAAGGTTGTAGTTGTTGACCCGGTGGCTGGAATGCATCTGTGTTGGCGAAATTCCGAATTCGTTCGGTCACAGCCTGTTCCAGTTCGGCGTGCAATGGGTGAGTTGTTGGCATAGCTTGGGCTGACCGAAGTAATTTCCCCACGGACTTCAACGCGGCCAGGCGGGCGGCATCCTCTGGAAATAGAAATGTAGTGCAGCTTATTCTATAGAACCTTGGGATGGGATTGTGCTTTCCAGAGTGGTGATCAGAGGGAAAATATGGGGGCGATGTTTATATCACCTAAAATTGTGAATGCAATCAAGACTGAACTATGCACTTCAAAAATTCAATGGATGAATGTTTCTGAAGTATAAAATAATTCCACGATTGGCGCACAACCCTCAATGGAACCGAAACTTGTCGACTGAACAACAAGGACCAAGAGTCAGGAGCACTCGGAAGAGAGAATAAAGATGACGTCGCTAATGGTGTCAATCAGTGTCCATTTGTCATGCAACTGTCCGGATAGTGTAGTTCCGAGTGTAGGCTATCAAATAAAAGAGCAGCATAAAATCGCAATTACGATTAACACAGGACTCGGAAAAAGTCTGTCGTAGCGTCTTCCCCTGGTGAACGTCCGTTCTTCAAGAGGAACAACAAGTTTGAAGAATCTTTCTAGAAAAAGTCAGTGAACAACCGGTATGTTTATAGCTGGACAACATTTCGCTTTTGATACAAAAGCCTCGTCAGGTCAACTGACTAACCTGGCCAACAGACCAGGTTGGCCCAGTTTTAAGGCATACGGTCTGACAAAGCTTTTGTGCCCCGTTATAAACCAAACGATTGTTTACCGCACTCTTCTGACTCGGTCCCAAACTTCTTCCAATAGACTGAATTTTATAGAAAGTTGGAACCAAGAAGATACTTTGCCAGGCAACGCTGTGAAGACAATCGGCCCTTGAAAATGTGGAGAATTCTTTCAATCATCCGGTTGAACTATCGGATTCAGCCATGTGAACGCGCGTTTTTTTAGTTTGTTACGTGCTGAATAGCTGCCATCAATAAATCAGGTGTCCTCATACTGTCCCAAAAATTTTGTTAGCTTCACAAGAAAAAAGTTACTTTAATTAGTCTCACTTTTTTCAAAAATCCCTTCGGCAGCGATATTCATGCTCATCACATTAACATTTTTGCATGATTACTTCGATAGCTCACTAATGTCGGCTAAAGACCTAATCGGAAGATTCGTGGGAACAACTACTTAATTCACCAGGAAGATTTTTCGCCTAGTTATGAGAATATATTCGACTTGTTAAACACCACTATCCCCAAAGGGGTTGTTCAAAAACTCCCCTCAGTTGTCCTGCCACAACAAGAAAAACAACTAAGAGGAAACATCATCCAAGAAACAACATTTTTAGGAACGTCAAGAAGGGAGAAACCGGTCGTGGGTTATCAGAGGGTTTTCAGCATTCTCATGAGTAGTATACTCCCAAGAAAACACTGCTATAACTCGAATGCCGTATCAGGTGAAACAGGAGACATTACACAGTTAAAGAATATAATGAACGGGAAATTCAACTGGGATCCAGTTGAACCTACCGGTAATACTGGATTGCTGTGTAAACACGTGCGTGTTGCAAATTTTGCACAATTTAAGTTTAAGTAGAATATAAACTTCACGTAAAGTCGGGGACTGATGAGCCCGAAGAGGGCTTAACCGGTCGTGGACAACCAAGAAAATGGTTTGATTGATGGCTTAGCTCAGAACAAGTCAAATCCGGTGTGAAATCAATGAGGTTGGAAGACAGGATGAACCAAACAAGGGGAACTCACAGGCTTCATACAAACGTGATATTTTATCGTATCTGATGAAATAGTTCACTAAATGACTATTTTAGCTCCGTAAAGTCCAGATCCGAGAGTAGATGTGGTACAAAATCATGGGGAGGGGAAGCCCACCAGCTCTACAAAGCTGATTGACAATTTGCATCAAATGCAGAAATCACCCGCGGCATGCACTCCGGGTGAGGTGAAAAAATGCGTTGACAAGAGGATGTGGGAAGCTATGGTCAACCACACGTCCCCAAAGACAGTACTCATCGAATCATCTTTTGGGACAGAACACTATCCCAGGAGCAACCACAATTAAGGCAGCACAAGATGTTTTATCGCAACAAAGTGTGGATGAAAAAATCGCTCAGAACGGAAACCACCCGCATACCAAGCACGTGCACGTTTACTTTCGACAGATCAAAGCAACTATTGTAGCGCGTGATGGAGTGCAAGCAGTCCACCCTCTGGTGCCTTCGGTAGCCAAACAGGTGACTAGCGTTTAAACAGTGGGTTGGCACTGTCCTACAAAACGAATGTGCTGAATCAAAGAATAGCTGTGGGGAAATATACGGGTGTTTATGTACATGCTCTCAGGTCGAATAAACACTCACTACTAAGCGGCCGCAGACCGAACAGCGGGACACGAGGGAAAATGATTCATTGTGGTCTACATTTGGTCAGTACCATCCATTGGTCGTCCGTTGTCACTCCGTCGGTGCCAGTTTCCAAAAGCCGTCCAGAGGAGCCAAAACAGAGCCATCTTCCTTCAATACTCATTGGCGATCATTCAGTTCATGCCAATGATTTCCAGACCCGAACGTGAATAGCTCACATCCTAACAACGATGTACACTCAAGCCATGCAATCACTTTTACCATGGGCGATCTGACAATGGGCACTCAGGAAGCCTACAAAAATTATTCTGTTCGCGCGTTTAGTTGATCCACAAAGACGACAGTGGACAACCGTAGCAGATGCACATGACTGAACCCTCTAAACTGAGAGCGGTCTGCTACCTACAGGGTTCACCTATCGATAACCCAGCAGAATCGCACATGACGAAACGTGGGTATGTGGGATAACAGTATGACAGTTCTACAAACATGATCGAAATTTGGCAGTTCAGAGTTGGAATTGCTCATGGAGCAACTTGGTATGTATGGAGCTTCGTCAACATCACACCCTAACTGAAGTTAGACTGCATGTGACAAGATCAAGTCAAAAATTCACATGCCTACGTATCTACCATTCGATCACGAGCAAAATTCATGTGCAACTGTACCATGAACTGGCGTATTCTTGAAGACAGTGTCTAAGTGCTGATGGTTCGAAATGATTCGCCCGTCGAAAGTAGTGCAGGGAAGAGTTTCCTCAATTCCCCAGCTGCTCACACGGAGGTCCTACGTTGAGATCGACGGAGCATGTGGCAACCGATGTTCGCGATGGTCTTCTCTATCTCGCTGGACGATTCCACCGTTACATATGGTTCATTGGCATCAGGTTTCAACCTAAACCTCCTTGACCTCCACTGCTCGGAGTTATTTACCCAATCAGAAGCATATGCAACCACATTTCACCGGGTTCAGTGCACTCTAGAAGCGAGTTGGGATGTCAAAAAATAGACAGACTCGGTGGTCTTCAAGGACGGTTCATCAGTGTTGAGCCCAGCGCCCAAACCCAGTGTCTCCTCTCAAAAGCTTATATTCTACGCTAGTGCTTCTTTGGTCGATAAAGAGATCAACTGTCTCGAGAGTCCTGGCGTGCACTCACCTATTCAGCATGGTCAGCATCTAATGTGGTGAAGTCTGAAGGCTCTATCTCTGCGTCAGAAGGTATCCATTAATACCCTTAGGTTTCCGAAGGTGTGTTTGCAGTTCTTAATGGTGATACTAGCTATGCTGAATTGGACCTGGCCGCTTGTAACCCGTGGTGATTCAAGTCAGCTGTTCACCATCAATAACTGTCGTATTCCCCAACAGTTCAAAAGTTTCACTTTTTACATGAAGACCACTCGATCTGCCTTTCCATATGCTACGGATGCAAACCTGTGCAGTGGCTTATTTGGATGATAAAATCCAGGTTGGACGCACGCCAAACGAGTTAAAAGAGCACGCATACTTTTAGAAAAACAACGTCGACATTGCATACGTGTCTTCACGCTGGTATTGTTGTCTGTGATGTGACGATGAATTTGATGATCAGAGGTGTCCATAATTCGAATACACGGAACTGATTCCCTATTTTCTCGCGTTGAAGTTAGAAGTAAAGAGGAATAACCCGGTCGATAGGTCATTGTGATTTACATAGGAAATGCTGAAACATTTGTTTCACGAGAACAAGGAATACTGTTATTTGGAAGAGTAAACGAATTCTATAGATCTGGAACTTTGTAGGAACAGAATAGGGATAGCGTACCACCCAATCTACGGCCTCCTGTCTTTACACAACCATGTGAATGCGCATTGCAGCAAAGTCACAACGCAAAACACAGCTACATCCGGTTGAGCCACCGGGTGCTTCTTCAAAGACCCTGTCATGGGCCTCAAAGAATTTAGTCTTGGGCAACTAGGAGTAGCACTGCCAGATGGAGCTACAGGTGGACAGTGAGGGTCGGGTGGGGAACAATCAAACAGATAAGCCATTCAATTAGATCCTCCTGTGATACACAAGCAATCACAGGCAATGATACCGAGCCTAAGCAATAAACAGTGGTCGGTTACCTTATAGCTGAGGGGTGCAATAATCAGCCAATTGATTGGTTTTATTCGGAAAAATCACTAGCTGAAATATCAGTTACTGGCCCCACGAAAAAAGAAGCTCTCCTTGTGTGAATCGGAGTTGTTCGAGTCCGCCTAAAGGAGGTAGTCACCTGACAACCGCGGTCACACCTAAAAATATTCCTCTGATAGCATGCAGTGTTAATTAAATTGACCGTACAACACTAAAAAGCTGCGCGCCCCGAAGCGAGCACGGTTACGATACTCAATCGAGTGAGACAACTTGAGAATAGTTGACATTCTGTAAAAAATGAGAGTACGTGTGCGCCACCCACAAAGATGACCAAAAAAGTGACAACTGGATGAACGATCTAAACTAAGTGAACGGCGTATAATGACAAACAAAAAGTGAAACATGGTTATTTGTTGGAACTGGACAAATCTAAACACTGCCCGAAAACAAAAGCGAAGGAAAACCAAGATTTCTGTTGACTTCTTGTGAACGTGAGTGATAGCTACAAGTGTGAAAACGAGTGTGAAAACACACTCGTGATGGACCGACAGAATTCAACCTGATATCCAATGATTCCAGAGTACTTAGCATACAGAAGCAATCAGGGTCGAATACCTAGGCATCGCGATTGCTAATGTGCCACAAGATGTTGAGAAAAAGTGGTAAATATCCGTTCAGTCTCCAATGTATGGATAAACGACCACGGTGCACCAGGTTACAGCAGTCTTGTTTTTCTCACAACGTAAGTATTTTAAATTCGGAACAGAGTCGGTCTCATGTGATCACTTCTTACTCACCCATAGGGCGGACAATACTCCCGATCCAATACGATTGCTAGAACCGTGCATCCAATAAATTATTGAACCTCGACTTAGCGTTAGAAGAGCACAAATGATATGCACTGATCAAGGTAAACAAAAGAAGGATGAATACACCCAGGCAACATGAAGGAAGAGGCGAAATGGGCTGATAAAAAGAATGGGAGAAAGTGATTACCAGTGACGAGGGAAGACTAAGTTTGGAATAAATAAAATCATCGGAAGGCTGAATCCTACTTCCAGTTGCAACCTTTGCTGGTGGGTATAAGGAGGGGAAAAACCCCGGATTCCACAAGGAGACTAGCTGCATCAGTTTCTCGCGGGCACAGCTAAGGGATGAGTTGTAGATATACCGCTGCACCAAGAAAATGCATCCAGACACTAAGCCCACCTGATGAAGTTACAAAAACGCTTGAGACGTCACGACGCGGTCGTCCTACAACTCCTAACCGTATGTCTCATCATTGTGAAGACCTCAAAGCGGTCATACTGCAGGAACAGAAGCATGCTGTGACAATCGGATATGAAACGCCAGACCGATGGTAACAACTACCAAAGATCAATGTGTTGTCTGTCTAGACTTCTCCTCAAAGTAGATTTACGGGTATATGGTATATTTAAAGTAGGTTGTATCATACTCTGGGTTTATTGTCTCCCGCCTACAAAAGCAACTGTATAGCAAATAATTTGATGAGCCCACGATGAAAGCAGTCCGAGAATTCTATAGAAAAAAACGTGATAATTTATACACATTCCTCGCAATGCATGACCGATCTGGTCAGAGTAGTTCAAGATGGTCCCTTTTTTCTTGTTGTTTGCAAAACATGGGGCACTTAGGAAATATGGAGTTCTGGAACGAAATCAAGATGCAAAGGCCGCTGCACTAGAAGCAAGGGGGTAAAACAAACCCACACAACTGCTCCACTACGATGTCTGAGACGGAAGTTTTCATCAAACGTGACTTAGTGGATGACCTCCCAACAGATGTAAAGACAATCTGGTCCCTAGTTGTAGCCTCTACAAAGGATTATTGCACATAAGATGAATTGCCACTACAGTATGCTACAGACAAGATACAGACAACAAAAGCGGAGTGTGTCCGCTGAACAAGTTGGACAAGATCTAAGGATAATTAGCAAAAACCCATAGTAATGCAAAAGATTGAAGTGGTAGTGAGGGGAGAAACGTACGCTCAATTCTGTCGGACTCGGCATCTATCGCATCATAGAATTCTTCATCGCGGATGACTGAGTTCGGTCCTTCTTCAAAGTCCGGACCGACAAGATTGAATAAGGTGCGATTAGCTGTAACTGGGGTCTGCGGCGGAGCAGGGCCATGTGACAGGCCTGTTGAGTCCAAACCTGCATGTAAATGTCGCAGTTCCAGTTGACCGCAACTCTTCAGCCGGGCGTGCCCGCCAAAATGGGCTGAGCCGCTGGTCATGAACGGGTTCCATAGCGCTGTCGCCGAATTGGAATGTGACACAGAGCTGAGACCGATTAGGTGGCGCAAATGAGCCATTTCTTGAGCCATTGCGCGTTGAGTCTCTTCGAGACGGCGGCGCTTCTCTGCTTCACGTTCTAAGCGTTTCCGCCACTGTTCTTCATGTTGCACCATCAATTCGATGGTGTGAGATAGGTTAGTGAGGATACCCACGGCAGTGGCCTGTAGGAAGCAGTGAATTCGAAAGTATTATTGACCTTGAATGTTCCAAACAACGAGATGTGAAAGTTGTGACTGAGTTAAGCGCGCTTAGCCCCGAAAAGCGTTGGCTCGCCTACTTATTAAAGAGCTATGCACCGAGTGCGGTAGCGCTAGCAGTGAAACTGGTATTTACTGCCAGATTTCACTACAACGATAGAGAGAGAGTGAAAACAACCTACTGCAATGTCGAGTAAAACGGGGTGCATAATGACCAGAATGAGATTCTTAGGACTTTCAGACAATGTTAAATTTTCCGAAAATCCGGTGGTCGGGGTGTCCAAAGAGTCTCGCGCACTTTCAGCGTGGAGGTCTTTATCTCGATACTACTAGATAACGTCTCTCAAGGGCTTCATCTAAGATTCAGTATCTTATGCATCATTCGACGCCACCAAAAAGCTTTCTCAGCGCTCTGTTCCTTTTCGGAATAACGAACGCACAAGGTCAACGCCCAAGACGTCTGTCTACACCAAATTATCCCAATGTGCTTCATCACATTCATCTTCCTCAAGCCGCCATTTTCCATGACTTTCAACACCGTTTTATGTATCACCTTAGTCATGATTCAAACCAGGGATGTTGGTTTCCTGTTCACTTTTGCTCAATGTTACGGCAGTGAAGCATCGGTGTTGAACACTGATGTCATGCTGTCGATGATGATGATGATGATTTGCTCAATATTATACTTTTTTGGTTACCTTCTTTAAAACTCTCCTCGACAAGTATCTGCATAGACTTTGGTTTTGAACTCTGCTTCTCAAGTCTTCTCTCCTCTCGTCCCTTGGCAGAGTACTACTACAAAGCTACCGTTTACCTGGTCCCTGTCAAATAGGTCAATCGCCCCATCGCTTTACTTTACTTAGTCGAAAGCCTTTGACCGTAACTGGTAATCAATTACCATGAACCCAACGTTAATCGCTTTATTTTGTTACCAACCGTAGAATTTTGGGACTTCTCACCTAATTTGCAACTCCACTCCTTTAAATTTAATTATTTTAGTTGACAACAACCCCAAAAAGCTGTCATGATTTTGTGTGGTCATGTCGTTTTTGTCCACTACTGTCAATTTATAAAAAAATCACCGGTTACCAATTCCTCTGTCTCACGTAACATGTGCTGGGACTTCTATTCTCTGCTATTGCTCTATGTTCACTGGTAAACAAGCGCATTTTCTGAATATTCGGAGTTCAGTGTTCTGTTTGTGACCTAGGAGAGGTTGACCCAGAAGTCAGGTACCCACATGATACGTTAGTTTAACTTGTAATGCATAAACTTTCTGGATACGTGGTTTTGAAGTGTAGATGGTTAACCAGTGCTTAAGAAGAAATAACTTGGAGGTGATTGGCAGAGAAAACAGAAAGTTTATGAAGGCACAGAAATAACTTCGGCAATCTAGCACCAATAGACGGGGATGAGTGAAGTCGATTGACATGAGAGTATCACTTTCGACGGAAACCGATCTACAAACGAGTGTACCTCCAAAAAAAAACCTGCATTTAACCATAAAGAAGTTCGTAACTCTTTTCCTCTTGTTTCGTCATCGTATTACTTCTGAAACCCTGTGTGCGCCACATTGTTAACCTTAGTATTGGTTTCCGAATACCATACCCTGCGGCGACCAGTTTCTTCGGTTGCCACTATGCAAGTGAGTGGAGCTAGCGTGGCTAAACTACACACGCACAGACACACACAGAACCTTCTGTTGAATATTGCTGCCCTTAGACTGCGAGGTTACCTCGACAGAATTGGGTTCAACGGCCTGATAGCACATAGCCAGCGAGATCTTATCTATCTGTCGAGTGCTCATTGAAGCAAACACGAAAAGATGCAGAAAAATGAGCTAACTTAAGGAATTTTTGACATGTTTTTGGTTATCCGGTGCCCATAACTATTATGTACATTGATTGAACTTGTAATAAAACTGCGTAAATTATCATGGATTTCTTAGGGAAAACGCGGAAACATTTGCACGCTGTTCGATTTACAGTTTGGTTATTTTGAGGAAGCGAATAATGGCTGATCTACCAATCCGCAGACAACGGGCATTTTCACCGTGGATGACCTCGGCTTAGCCATCGAAATGCAAGGGGGGGCCCTGGTGAACGAGCAGCAAATGTGGTCAACTACCTTGTACCGCTATCTCCAAAGATCCCTCCACTGACTTTGTGTAGCGAAAAAAAACATGTGGAGAAATTAAGTCATGCCGATAGTAGCCTAAAGTAGCGCAGCTTTTACTGTAAATCCCAAACCGATGGACCAATATGAAGTTGAAATACGGGCGAAGAGTATCCGGTAGAACCCAATATTTTTTACACATGACGTTTAGGAGAGTCTCCTTATGTTTGCTTTACGGGTTTAACTGACAGCTCAAGGAAAAAGCCAGGAGGAGCGGCGGTACACAATAAGGTCCGGTTTCACACACAAAATCGTGGAAGAGTTTAGGTTTTGCGTGGTGAATCAGCACCACCCTTCCGTCTGTGCGTATTCAAAGGGACAGTAAGGTGGATTGGATCGACATCCACAACAACGTATTGTATTTGTTGTCTTCAACTGGTTGACTGATTTGCAGTGTGAGTAAGCATAAATTTGATGAATCACAGAGAACGAGCACTGGTATAGGTACACCAGGGTGATTCACAATTCCCGTTCATTCGTTGTTGCGCGGTAGAACTCACATCGGATGTTAGACGAAATCTTAGTAGCACAGACGAATTCGTTCATGGGTTCACATGTTCATCAGTTCGCATGCACTAAAACACCATATTCAACACAGACCAAGCAACCAGTAGACGGAGAGAAAACATCCGTGGTTCTTTCGCCATCGAGAAGTCACAATATCTCTAGAGTTCAGTTCGGCTTATCAACTACAAGGTACCAAGAGTATATTGGTTTCGATGTTATAGTTTAGGCCACCGGAAAATAGGACAGCCAGGGAGAAATAGGCGAGCATTGGAGGCGAATTACTGATTATGCCATCGTTTCCAATATCCCCAGATGCCATGACGATTTGTTCAGGGAGGAACTGTCAATTTTATAAACGTTGCTAACACCAGCAAAAACGTGACGTAAATAATAAGTCTAACGAAAGCTGGCTGGAACGATTTCGACAATTTGAACTGCTAAAACTTGAGTGCGTGCTTTGGTGGGGAAAAACTGTTGTCCACCAGATAAATACCACTGCCCAAATCAACCGAACTCGTTTCTGAGAACGGGGCGTTAAAAATATATGCAATGTATAACCGAATAAAGTTTGCCTTCATATGGGAAATTTATGCGTTCACGGATTTATTCAGATCAGTAAGCTGTTGAGTTGCGTGAAGCGGATCGGCTTTTTACGTCGGGTGCGTGCACTATCTGAAGGGAGTCAATCTGCTGTCCTCCAGAATGGCGCTGTACAACAGACCGACGAGTTGTATGGGAACGACTCCCACAGGATGTCGATAGAACATGATTGCCCAGCATTCCTTTAGACAGTGTGTTTTCTGATGGACTACTTCACGCATAAACACAGACCTTATAAATATAAGGGTGGTCAGTCCTTCAGATCAACCTCCTATGAACTTGCTACAACCATCTGCTCCTCTGTTCAGTGACCACATGGGAGGTAGGTTATCCGAATTTCGACATCGACCAGATGTGCTAAGAGGATGATGCTCGGAAAGGTTCAGAAGTTCACTGCCCGAAAGATTTGCAAACCATTAGGAGCAGTAACTTTCAGTTCGAAGCTCCGATGCCAAGATCTCGCTTCGTAACTGGTTTTCACAGATTAATGAAGGCCCCAGCAGACGATTACACTTTAGATGCGTATGCGGGGGCCGATGTCGGACTATACCGATTGTTTTGCGTGACAAATAAGCGTCCAATTAGTCCTCTAAAGAAGTGGCGTTAAGTGAGGGTTTCGGCAAGCGGAATTAAAAACCCCGACAAGTCTAGTTAGACTCGGTGACTTCAACGAAAACCCAAGGGAGGTAAATGCTCCGCTTCACTACCTGGCCAAATTAACCACCCATATAATTAGCATAGTATAGATTACAAGATGGACCGCAATGCTCGTCAATCTAATTTACGGAAGTGCACTTTTGACGTCATTGTTAGAGCAGATACCAAAGTCTCACAATGCCGCAGCGTTCTTTGTGAAACTCCTTCTGGAAACTACGGTATGTTTGCCATACTGATTAAACTATAGACTTCTCAGGCCTTGACAAGGTCGTTCGGTCTGCTTTGTAGCCGTCCTCGAGTTGCTGCCCATTATCCTATGCCAAAAAGCACGGAGACTTGAACCCGTTTGTAGCAGGACCAACAGGTATACTACATCTTCTGATCCTTTGTAAGTTCAGATGATAATCAGACGATAAACTACGTGATCCGGAGTAGTTTTTATTCCGATCAATCGAAGCGCACTTGTATCTTATTCTTTACCGGTTTGTCCAGTCTCTGGGTAGTTTCCGCAACTAAACCCATTTTAACAGATTCTTTGCTAATCAGTTAGAATTGCGAGGTCCGGCCGGAGCAAATTCGTGCTATGGACGCTAAACGTATATGACGCTTCACTCGTGTCACTCGCACGTGATAGTGAACGTGCAGAGTCCTCGCTTCTGCCTTGCAGCACATCCTCAAAGTGGTACCCGCTCAGCACTGCCATGCATGGTTAATTCTGATCCACTGAATGCCTGTCTGCCGAAGGAACAATTTTAGTCTTCATAAAGGAAACTAATTACACGGTTGCTGAAAACCCCTCCCCAGCCTACTACCGGTTTCACCTTTCTTGCGGCTCATCAGGTAGGCGTGGTAAAGTATATCATAAACGAGAGAGTCAGCTGAGTTTCAGGTGAATCAGACAAATGTAAAACGCATTTAATTTAATCCTGCTTTTATCTCACCTCTGTAAAGAGCGTACGTCTGTGCTGTTAATGAGGTAGCCTATCAAATACTGACTTCTTCCCGTATCGTAACCCAACAACTGTCATTCTTCAGAATAATACCGACGTTTGCACCGGTCAACTTGTCCATGTGGACTTTGTTAATTAATCTGTCTCACTAATCCTCTTGTGTTCATGAACATGCATACGCTATTAAAGCGTGTGCAGACCGCGTTTTCCCGATGCTCCAACACCGCAACTACTGTTTTTGACCATGATGAGTAAGGGTCTGCGTATGAGCAACGTGAGAGTTGGTCGGACTCCACTGAAGAGTATCACGCGAATAATCTTCACTGTATGGGATAGAGAAACGATACCTGCCTAGAGGGATGCATAATACGCGTTCTCATAACCCTCGTTCGAATAATCCTCATTGTGTCTTGGTGCAGCTGTTCTGGTTAGTCTGCATCAGTGTGAAAACATAGGACACGAAGTTTGCTCTTAGTAGAGCTCATCAACGCGACACAGCCTTGGCAGTGCCGGGATTTGAAACTGACGGTCAACCGCCATACCTTACATGGTATCCAGCCAGGTACAGGGTGAGTTCAAAAATCCCAATCCTACAAAGCGGATCGCGCCAACAACACCCAAGTTTTCATACCTTTCAGCCATATCAGGATGTTCGATTGGTGGCTTACGCTTTTCTGAAAAACGAGCAGAGTCACACTCGTCTCAGCAGACGATAATTCACTGTACGTAGCACATGGCCGTAGTTTAAAGAAAAATCGTTCAGTTGTGGCACCCTTCCGGTGCCTAACTGTCATGCTAACCGAAAGAAGCACGAGGGCTGGGATGCTTCCACGTTGCCCAAGCCTAGATAGGGGAAGTCGAGAGACAAAGGTCGGGCTCGAAGCACGGACCTTCCGGTCAGTAAATTCGCGCCCCTGATCGTAGTTTGTGGTTTTAGGAACTTATCACAAGTGAGGTACCGGAAACCTGCCTCTTCATGACCTGATTCCGCATTCTTTGACGTCACCCAACACTAGCAATCAGCAAGCGACTTCTCTGAGGAGCCTCAGATCCCAAGCTGGCACACGTCATGTTTCACAGCCATACGACAGAGTCGCCAGAATAGAGACCACTTTTTTCTTACAATGAAACCACTCTGAAGTCTGAGCGCGTCATACTCGGTCGCAGACAATCCGACCAGTAAAAAAGAATGAATTGGTTGCAAACAGTGAAAAAAAAGAAGCGAAGTATATGGGAAGTCAACACAAATCAACATTCACGAACATCGAGATTCAAACCACACAGTGAAATCTCTTGATTTATGAAGTGTTTGAAGAGAGGTTGCTGCTCTGTGGGGCGTTTATAAGTTACACTATATTGTAAAAGTGAGGCAATGAGCTGTACAACTACGACTCTCCCCAACTTTATAGGACGGTTGAAGGGAAAGGTTAAAGTTGAGTTGTTAGGGGGTTGGCCTCTTTTCAGAAGGGCTCAACTATCGAAATATGTTTCAAGAGGGCAACCAAAAGTGGTCTCTCTAAGGTACTTCTCTCCTGAGGGCAGACTCTCCAGAGCGGAACATTGTTACAAAAACTAGAAGCTATAAGTCCATAGAGACACGGACTGAGAACGTAAGCTATTTGGCCTGTTGAACACCACGGAGAGCAGCAGATGCCCTTCCCTATAAAGTCATTTCCACAGTAAATCATGCGGTGACAACAAGTACCGTAAATGGCAGTGATCGTTCTAGCAGTCGCCGTCCACATTACTTCGCTGAATGTGAGGGGTTAGTGTCGCAGTGTTTGTGGTTCCACCTTCATAGTACAGACCGAAGTTAAAGTTAAACTACTTAGATTTATACGCCAGTGGGTTGCAGGTATTGATGCTGATTTTCAAGGGATGACGAGGGAGGAGGTACGGCAAACAAACAGGTCACGATTCCGTCAACAACAAGTAGATTCAGAGTCTAACTCGAGTCAGCCTTCGTTCCCTGTGCGGCTATCAATCACAGAAAGCAGATTAGAACAAGAACACATGTTTTCGTAGCCCTTGGTTGGATTAGAGAAATGGTTGAGCTTCGAAAGGATGGGCCGAGGGCCCGTCGCTGGCATGCGTGATTATGACGTTGTGTTAGGCTATAGGCTCATTAGATGACGGGAGAGCTGGCGACGGGGTAATAGTTTTTTGATGGGGATATGTGAAGACCTATCATCTCCCAATACTAGTTACTTACTTTTTAATTACAATCACAAGCAAACTGGACCTTACCGTGGTGTGACAGTTTGTGTGCATCCGTGACCCAATGAGCTATACTGGGTAGTATCCGTGCGACACTCAGTCTCTCATACCAGGTTGGTCAATGGTTAAAGGTCTAAACGACACAGTTTTTGGCCCTTTGGGTTGGGGGTTAGAACATGTGTGCGTTCCATAAAAATGGTAATACACTTGCATTTCCCGCAAACACAGCGCTGCCTTGCGGTCCGGCTTCTGAGCCGTCCTCCCGTCTTGTGGGCGCCCCGGTAGTATCACAGTCCAAGTAAAACCATGACACTTACAACCAAAAATAATCTCATGCCATATCATGCCACATCGAGACTGGTATGGACGGACAAGTACCTAGGGACACGAGGGACGATAAACGACGGGATGGTCCCTTGATGTCCTAGGGCCATGGAGTCATTACCAAAGGAAAAAATACAGCATCCCTGTGGGAAATACTCTTAAAGATGCGCGTTAACACAGAAATAGTGGTGTAAACCGCAGTGTACTGCCTTCGACAGCACGCACTATAAGGCGCCGAATTTAAGACACCTACCGAGTGGAAAAACGAAACTAACCTTGAACATGTGACTTTCTCCACGAAAGTCTGGAGCATGGGCGCCGTGTTGTTTGAGGATGCGTTGGATGTCATTGAAGCGGCAAGAAGGGCGAGGTTGCTCGCAAGGGAGGTGTTCTGTCGATAACTATAAAGGAGAGGAGAAATAATAATCACACGTGAAGAAGGATCCGTCTTGAAATACAACACAAATAGCGACCAGATTAATCAAGATGTGCCCTACGACACACACAAACGCACATTGCTTACTTGATCTGCATCAGACGATTGGGGTGCTTTCACAGCCACAGGTTGGGTAGAACTGGAGCTGCGAAAAGATGGGAGAAAACGGGAGAAGAAACCGCCACTTGTCGGGGCGTTTGTAGTCGGTTTCACAGTAGGGGTACCCTGCCTGCTTGCACACGTATTCGATTCTTCGACGGTTAGTTCAGTCGGTGGCGTGTCCGGCTGAGATGAATGGTTCAACAGTGTGACCTCTTCTTCGGATTTGAAAAAAGGGGGGTTGCTGGTGTCCTGTTTGTCCATAAAGTTTCAAAAACAAAGAGAAACCATGGAGAGTGAAGACCCGCGCCAACGAAAACAAACCAAAGAAAGTATGAAGTGGACGGAAAAAAGTGTCTCACATAGGGTTAACCGATAGGAATATATATAATAAAGGTTCATGATTTGTATCTATGCCTGACTTTAAGGTTACTTCTGTACGGGCCCGAGTGGGCACCCACAGTTCACATTCATTCGAGTGGCGGTTGCATATCGGAAATGCAACTGCTGAAAGACTATTCGTCTGCCAATGTGTTGGTATACAGTGCCTGTCATTTCGGTTGATTTGTATGTACGTATCGGTGATGTACAACCTCGCTCACAAGGATTTGGTTCATGGGCTTTCTTTCTGTTTTCTATCCAAAGAACGTGTTGTGAACCCTTACCTTCGGAGAATCACTGTCCCCTAGTGCTTCCATAGCGTGTACACTACATATTTGACGACCACGCCAGGATGGTTACTGTATCATCCGTTATGTTGACAATGAAATTCCCCACGTTTATTCTGCCCCACTTTTGTGTTTAGTGTGTATATATGAACTGACGTTTGTTTGTCCTTACCACTTCACCCATTTGGCCTTGAGGTCATCCGGCCATTTGTATCTGACTTTGCACGTGTGACTGTCGCACGTGGGAGCCTGTTTGCTCCCTTGCTTTGTACTTTTGTAGTCCAAGCGGACTGTTTGTTTTGGACGCGTATCTACTGTCGAGGTTTGTATAAATTGTGAATTTCTCTTACCCTAATAGTACCGTATAGAAACCCAGCTCCGACTTTGTTTTGCCTACCCGGAGGTCCTGGTATTACGCGTCACTCAAAGATACCGTTCGACCGTTACAGTTACTACACATTAATGGTTCCATCACAAAGTCTCCGACTCTACACATGTGCATACAGACCGTGAAGCTAACCGGTTGTCTATTCACATATGGCTCACGCACCCCCAGAAACAGCAAACTGCATACAAGCCTCACGCACCACACCAACAGCACCGGCCGTTTCACGTAAGCCATGGTACATCGGGGACGGTGTTTTTCAAAGAGGGGACCAGTGTAGTATACAGTGCCTGCCACTTTGGTTGATTTGTACGTAATTATTGGTGATGTACAACCTTGCTTAATGGGCTTCGGCTCATGAGCTTTCTTTCTGTTTTCTGTCCACAGAAAGTGTCTTGAAACTCTACATTCGGAGAATTACTGTCCCCTGGTGCTTCCATAGGGTGCGTACTACACTGGTTGCTCGGATGCTGATCAAGTGGCTGTAAGCCATCGTGCTTGGATGATCGCCTATCCATTCTTCGACGTTTCATGTACTTCTTAGTGATGGGACTTATGCATGAGCAGCCCACAAGGTCTCATCGGTTATGAAGTTTCCTCTCTCATAACGTCCACCTGAGTGAAATCAATCTGATTAGCACAAGCAGCCCAGAATAACCGCACATGACTGTATGGTAGTACATCAATGTGTGTGCACCGTGACTAATCATCCTATAAACCAACCTGAATTAAAAGAGTAGAAAAGGCCGGCAAAGCAATTTACTGCATACGATTAAAGTACTGTTAATTTACTCGGTTACACACTGCTTCAAGTTACCACACGTTTTGATGAAGATTAGTGGTGCAACTATAGCACAGCGCGTCCAGGACAGCAATTGTATAACCACAACACGCCCACAACAAAGAAACAAACAACTGACCCTATCGCTGGTTCATTACATCAGTTAAAATTAAAAAGATAGAGGACTTCGAGTGACCGGTTGAAACGATCATATCGAGAACCCTACAAATTTCAAACAAATGAACATCTATCACCAAGAATGTCTGGGTATCAACCAGTTGTACTGCACAATCCCAGTCACTAGGGCCGTCAACCGCATTAAAAACGTTTATTGCATACTTCGCAAGTTACGATTAAGTTCTGTGGGTTCCATTTGCTTAAGTGGGGACAAAACCGCCTGAGGCAGTAAACAAGCAAGGGACAGAATAGGCCATCTGAAGCAGCACACGTGAATTAAGATTTCACAAACCTGGGTTTACTTTGATAATCAATAAGCGTACCTTGTGGTCAAGGCACAGATGATCCTCGCACATCGAACGCCCACAGTATAAATTACTACCTCGCTTCTGATGAACAAGGTATCGATGCAGAGAGTCTCGATCCTCGAGGGAGTCTAATTCGTCTGATGGTGTTTGATGGTCGTCATCCTTGAGCCAGTCTTCAAGGCGGTCCGGAGACGAGTGTTGTACTGCGGCACTACATGCATCGAAGTAGGCTTGAAGGGAGTCAACCTGTTTGCACAGAATCTCTCTGGGACGCAGAAATTGCAGGTGGGGAATGGAATAATTTCAAAATGAAGCGCAAAAGGAGGAAAGGGTTAGTTACTTTCTTTCGAACAACGTTGAAAAGAAACATACATCATGTAGAAGAGCTAAACTAACCCAGATGCATCAGCTTTCAACAAGATCCCAATGTTGGCAGATGTTTGGCAGCGACAGAAAAGTCATCGTTTTAGAAGGGTTAGGTAAACAGTCGACGGATTTATTGATGGGCAGCGCTTCGCTCTTGAAACGGAAGCTTCGACAGGCAAAGTTACCAGATCGACTAATTTTAAGGCAGTCGGAAAACTAATCAGTGAGGTGTTGTTCGACCAACAAACTTGATCCAACAACAGCTGGGTCAGGGGGGAAAGTAACATCTGCTACAATCAATCGGGCTTGGAGCCTTGAACTTCCGGTTCATAGCACTTTGGCTGAGTAATCCTTTTCAATGTTGTTCACAAATTTTGTTGATGTGCGTCCGATCCGTAAGTGTTAGGACACCTGGGTTGGGGGAAATCAAGCGGATTCTATTCAGCTTACTTTAGATTTAAACCGCTTCACTGTAGACTGCATATCTCCACGTGTTAACTGAGCTGACACAGCACCTCTCGATATACTAACCTGTTTTACGCCCTATATTCTGTCCAGACTGGGATACTTGGCGATTCCCACCGTCTCGGTCTTCAGTCACTGCGGTGTGAATCCTAGTCCCAGCCGCATTTTTCCAATCTATTCAATGTCCAGTGCCATCCCCGTTATTGCCGAAACTTTACCTATCGTCTGAGGTTCATCTGCGCTTGCTGTTGTTTGTGTCGCAGATGTGCAGCCCCTTGCCTGTTTGTCCTGTGAAAATCTTCTTACGGCCGTTCCATTGTGCTTTCCATACACAGTCCCTGGTCCTATCAACTAGGGGACGATCCTTCAACTACACCTAAACTGAGCGTAAAGTTTCCTTACATCTGGCTGAACGATAATCAGTTGCACTTTGAACAGTGTCTGATGAAATTTCTCCCAACTAGTGGATCGAGTGCGTCAGACTGGCGTAAATGGTGTGACCTTATAAAATGGCCATCAGATTTCGATATCTGGGTTATTAAAGCGACTGAACTCTCGATAACTGGTATGGACCACAAAGCAAAATAAGTGTCGGAAGGATTTCCCCCGATATCGCAGGAAAATGAGCCCACGAGTAATGAATAGTCGTGCATGGGCCAATCCTATTCCTATATTCAGTAACAGATATGATGTACTAAACTGCTTCCGCCGTAAACTATCGGTCAAGTGCACTCAAACCGGACTCCATAGTCCTCTGGTGTGGCAACATTACCAGTAAATTTGACCGTTACTGCATAAACATCAACACCGCTAACAAAGTGTATCGGCCCTGTAATGTCCAAATCCACCCTTTCTATGAAAATTTGTTTCGTCCCTAAGGCCATTCATAATAAGAAAAAATCCTGAAAGAAGGCGGGTCTCTGCTAGGTGGTTTCCTCGTGGAGAGTACTGCAGGTAGGTTGAAGAAAGTAATGGTCACGGTAGCTATTCCAGAGTAGCATGCCAGCATCAACATCAACTGCCTCGTATTTACGTTTTCGAACTAAAAGCGTATGCCCCTGACTGGGCTCGAGTACTCCGGTAGTATCCCACTTTGCTTACTGCCAGGAACCACAAGACTATCACGTCGGACGCCAAATAGTATTACAATTATCTCTTGTTGCATTGCTAAGAAAATGCGATACTACCCTCTTTCTCCTGTTTGAATAAACAGAACATCTCCCTCGATGGATCTAAAACCGTGGCCAAAATCCATGCAACAGCATGTAACCCAGGGTGAGCGAAGTGCAACTGTACTACACCTATTGCGAAGCATTCAATGCACTCCGCTTTCAAAACGCGGGTCTGCGGTACCAATCAGATATTGCGATTGAAACTGTGCACACAAGTTTCCAAGAGCATCTGTCCAATCTAGAGCTGTTCCGATCACACACTCCTTTCTTGAGTTACAACTGTCATCCAAAGTTATTTCACTGAATGTAACCGCATATTTTTGTTGACAACTTTGAAATGTAGTGCTTTTACGAGTAGGGAAATTATCACGAAATATATCGTCTGATCATCTGCTGAAGAAAGATTTGGCGGAACCAGTATTTCAGATATGGTACAGTAACGTCGATCGCGACCGGCTAACAGACGGGACTCACTCGAACCTCAAAAACTCTAAGCATCTCTACCTTCTGTGTTTCAAAGACAAGAGTTTAAGACACAACTACGGTACTTACTCCACCTCCTCAATCCTGTACAGCCAAAACGTACCCGGAACTAGCGCGTATTTGAACAAGTACCTCTGCAAAAGCTGCTTCGGTTAACTGCATTTGTTAATTGTAGTGCTTATACGTACGTTTATTGTTTCAGCAGAAATGTGAATCAGCGATGTTTGTTCGTCTCTCCCCCTAAGTCCCAAACGATACTAACCCAGACTCCACGTGAGACGAGTTTTGCTTCTAACCGAGCATGTTGACCCATGAAGTCCATAACACATATCTTGTACTACTGGCCGGAGAAAAGAAATCCAAAGTTCAGGTGATAACGACAACTTCGGAGGTCGATATTCTGCCCATATTCAACAGACTGACATTGGGGATTATCTAGTACGAATATGTGTGGACGAAGGACAGCCTAGAAGCAGCTTTCTGGTCAGTATTGGTCGAATTTGCATTTAACATTCTCCTCAACTGTGCACACGAATAGATCGCACTGAGGTCAGTAACTGATGGTGATGATACGCGTGGGTCATAAGCCCACTGTGATCACGCCCTGGTTTGTCCGAAAGTTGCCGCGGAGGATGTCCAAAAAAGATGAGCTATTGAAGGGAGCAGCTCGTGGTGTAAACGCACCCCTGAGGTCCTGACTTACTAATTTTTTATGTAAGAACGAACAGGTACTGGTAAGATTCTTTAATATTATTCCTAAGTTGGTCCGGTAGCTCAATGTGTGTCGATGGGAACTTATAGGTAGCATAGCACAAAAAGGGACGCTATATTTCGAATTTCCGAAGAAAACGTTGGTGCCCTGAGAAAAAGAACATCCCTTAAGTTCCTTTAAGTCGATCAATGCCAGGTTCCTAGTCTTATTCTATGACTCTACACAGGGTCCATCCAGTGTGAAAATTCTGTTGTAAAACTAGAAAACAGCTTTGGTTTGGCGACCTTATCGCATAGACGACTGCCTAATAATCAGACATCCAAACAAACTTGTCGATTTTTTCGATTACATGACCGCGGACAGCAATAAACTGTAGATCAAATGTGATACATGGTGGCCGAATTTGAAAATATCAGTCAAAATATGAGGAATCCCATTGTCACTACCAAAAAGATAAGGTTTGTGTCGTAACACCAAGTCAAACAAGTAACGCTAACTAGTAAACAATGAAAAGGAAAAGATAAACACCGGGAGGTAGAACTGAGTTCGTGACCTCTCAGTTACCGAGTGAATGCACTACGCACTCAGCCACTGTCCCACCGTGTCGTCACACACGTCAGTAAAAAGATTATTGAAAACGTTCCAGCCAGCTTCTTAGGCATAACAACAAGAACACAAAAATATGCTGTACGCACAGTCACACGATCCACTTCATAAAAGTTCTAGTCACAGATGAGGACAATAAGAATGCTGTTCCCACCATTTGCTAATCGTTAGTATCTACAAACGTCGTCAAGATGGGGCGACCTATTGTTCCATGAGGGGGATCGATAGACTTTCATATACAGTGTTTGTGTAGCTATAGCAACCCGGTAGTATAACGGTGGGCTGGTAGCTAAATCAGTTCACATAGGGTTTCTTCAATCAGCGCTAGCGAGCAAGTGAGAAAGAGGACACAAATTCTTCACTCAACGACGCACGTAATACCGTCTTACTCTCGTGACTTCACAAAGGCTGACGAACTTGGAATGCTTCGCTGCAATTACCTACGAAAGGACTATTTTCACGCCAACTGCACAATGATATTCCCAATACACGTACATGTGAATAGCCTAATAGTGCTCCATACTAGAAAAATCATCTAGTCATCTGTGATAGGTATTTTAGCGGCTCTCTACAAATGTTGAATCACCCAACATGACTGTCGCAAGGCAAGTCGTTGGTAACTGTCTGTTTAAAAGTACAAATATATTAGCAGTGTAGAAACAGGGGGAAATCCCGTTAAGTTCGAATATTCCAATATCTTTCGAGCCGCCCACTGCAGACGGGCTGATTTCGGATAGAGCCGTTCTCTGGACAAATGATCCAACCCTTCGCATTGCTTAGGATGCTCAGCACCAAGCCAGCTGACGCAATCAAGCAGCAAATAAGAATCTCCGTTTGAGAACCAGTTGAACTTGCCAGTAGTATGTGTAAAGCACAAGTTTGTAGGTAATTCGAAAAGTAACAAGTTTTTCACACTCCTGCACGAACAGACCGAAAACGATATTTTAAATCAGAAGAAAAACCACTAACAAAGACGCTGAAAACATCAGGGGGGTATGATCTGCACAACCAAAATGTCAAAGCCGACTGGGTGACCGTATGCCAAACTAGAAACGGTTTATCCTCCTCAAGGAAAAACCTTCCATGAGTACCACTGTTTCTTGTCCTTCTGTTGTTAAAACCTCCAGCGCAAACTTATTTACGCACAGTAAGTCCGAATACAAATGGCTGTTCGCCATGAGGTGGATCTGATAGCTCGGAATTCAGCGTGAGGTTGGTTGTCAGACTAGATAAATGACGCAAGCACATACTTGAACGTCTCCATTTCGGCCAGTTTCTCACGTAATCGATGTCCCCACTTGTAACTCGACGCCGAGGCAATACTTGGACTATGGCCGGAGTTCAGTGACATCAGAGAACTGGGCCGATGAAGTGTCCGTTCGGAACCGTAACCAGATTCGGCCACTCGATGCCGTTCGATTGCGGCAATCCAACTCTGGCGTTGACCGCTATTGGTTCCACGCAGATACCAGATGAGCTCGCCAACGCGAACCTATTAAAGTCAAGGTTGCCTCATATGAATAACAATAACGACGAACAATAATGCACACGTAGATAAGAATATCGGTCTAAATAAGCGAAGATAAAACACACGGTCACTGTGAAACGGCACTAAGCGGCCTCAGTTCAAAGGTTTATCAGTCTCAGTTCACTGTGCCTTAACCTAAAGCTTATGAAAAATGCCTAAGCGTTTAGAAATTGCCTATAGATTTATCCACAAAAAAACAGATGAGGGAGCTTCCATCGAAGTTATGGTTACGTCAAGGAGAATCCTGCAAAGAGGAACTGCCACAAACTCGTATAGCAAAATTGCACCAACACTCGCGAACAAGACCGTTACCAGGAAGTTACTTTGCCAATATGTGCTCACCAAAATCACACGTTCCCTGGGAACGTCAAAACTTACGGTGTTTCTACATCGAGAAGATTGTTCTCTCTGCCTACGTAGCCCGCATCCTATACGGAAAACATCAAGTATGGAATCTTCCCAAGAAGAGCTCATTTTAGGCCGATCCCAACATACGGTTCTTCTAGACGGGAACAACACTGGTTGCGAGAGCGACGTCCATCCACTGCAACTAACCGATCCATGCATACAAACGTATTTTATTCTACGCTTCTACACATGCAGGATACTTAGATACAGTGTTTCTGTATGATGTGACAAATCGTTTCTGTCAACTTATTCCTTCTTGTTCCTTAGAAACGAAGTATATTAGTCGCACTATTGCATGTTTACCTAAAATATATATGAATACGTACGCACTGAATGGCTTGAATTATACAGAGTATAGGCTGTGGTTGCAATATCATCAGAATTTGGTATTTTGAACTACCACTACGTGAGTTGGGTTACGTTCTCTACATCCGCATTCGCAAACATTTTTGCAGCATTCTTTTTCTGGTGTGACCGAATTCACTGCAGACAAACTGTCAGGCCCAAAACTTTCAAAATGTAGTACAAAACAACCGTATGTAGCTATGGCAAGACAAATAGTTGCAAGAACAGTTATGGAAACCGGGCTGTGATGGCCGAATAACTATTTTCAACGTTTTTAGATGGCAGGGAAGTGAAAAGATGAAGTGACCATGTCAAACACTGCCAATCTAACAGAGCTGAATAGACTACCTTTGATATTCTTCGGCTAAGGTCACCATAGATGATCGATTAATCTCGAAACTCAGACACTACAACACGTGACCACTGGTTGTGTGAAGCCAGTAGAGTGATCCAGCCAACTCCTTTGACGAAAATACTACCGTGGAAATGTAAAAGGCATGGAAAAGTACAATATACTGAAGAAATGTGTGGGTGTTTTGTTAAGAATGCGCGAGGCATTGTGTAGTCGAGCACGCAGAGAGAACTGTAGGGTACAACGGATCTGTAGCTGGGACGGTGGAGACTGTACGGTAATCCGACGAGGTGGGGTTTTATAGGAATACAAAGTCACCGAAGTGTCTGCGTACATCTCCAAATTACTGTTCGCTTACAGAATAAGACAAGTCACACAACCATCCTTTATTTATGAACGAATATTGATCTACCCAGTAGTGTATTAGGCTTATACATGCATCGCGATATCTCAAATATCGTATCAACCGAAACATGTAGACTGTCTGGTTCAGCACATTCAGTTGCTCAAAAACACCACAAACGAGAGATTCAGCTGGGTTCCAGGTGAGTCTCTCATCAAAACCAAATTGGTATACGACTGAGTGTAGTTCGCCATTGACCTACCTACTTATTGTAACTTGACAATCAACCAGACGCAACACATTGTTCACGTAACATGAAGATGTACTGTTTCGAATTATTTCCCATCGAATCCAAATGAGTGAAATGAAGAATTACTATTTCGTTCTAACTGGAACTCATCGAACGATAGTGTTATGGGCCGTGGGCGCGAGTTCCCTTCCAAGATAGGGTCCGCGATATCCTCCATGTGTACGGTTGGAGACGGTGCAAGAAATGGCGTTCTTGCAGTTGGCTCCAATGCAGAGTATCTAAGTGGGTGTCTGAAGGTGTGGGCACCTGAGAATGGTTATCGTAGGCTAGCACTAAGTCCCTTCCAACCAACTTCTACTGTTTTCTTCACCATAAGGCTTCCAAACAAATTACGGTTGTGCAGCAGCAAAGTATTAGCGCTGAATGCTGTCAATGATGATGGTGTTATGGGTTAGATTCTCTGGCTCTAAAAGAGGAGACTTAGTTTTTATGTATTCAGTCCTGCTGACTCTCATAGACGCGGAATTGTTGATGCTGATTCTCCACACGTCCCCAAAATATGTTTGGAATTCACAAATACTTTAATACAGGTGGGCGAAATCACATTCGCGAGGTAAACACATGAGATGTTATTGATTCACCCAGGTCACCTGCGTTGTTTCCGGCACGCATAAACACCCGCGTCCGAAAATTGGGTACACTTCTCGGGTTAGGTACCACGATGAGTTTGAGTACCCTTATAGATCTACCTGTCAATTCGGATTACGCCGTTGGACCTCCACGGGACAGATAGTACCACATACGAGTTGCAGTGAGCGTCACACCGGTTGCACACCGATTAAATTTCATTGACCGGGTGGAATCTCAATAAATCAGACCCGAGGGTTAAAAGGAAGGGACAATTCTACAGCCATCGATGTGTCCAGATGATGGCCCGTAATTATAACATGCAAGAATAAGTGGATAGCTAGGACCTAGAGTACGTGCTCAAGAGGGCCGCATCACTCAAGAGGCACTGAAGATGCACGCATATGGCTGGATATTGCTAGCTACTAACTGGCTTGTTCTGTAAACAGCAATTACAGAAAGTCACTTCTATCATAAATGCAGGCCTACGCATCTGTAGTGTCCTCAGTCGTTGGCAGACATGTACGATGAATACATACATACAGATACACACACAAATAAGATATCATCATCATTATCATCATCACTATTGTCGTCAGCACCAGAGACAGCAACATCAGTGCTGACACTCATGAGCTACTGTTGTACAACCACAAAGTTTACCTCATTACATTTAAAGCCTTGGAACGACAAGAAAAGAGTGTGTGAGTGAAAGGAGATGGTGCCGGTCTATGTCAAGCATTCTGAGGTACCTACACCTCAAAGCCCTCAGTCAGACCATCTCATCATCATCATCATCATCGACAGCATGACATCGGTGTTCAACACCGATGCTTCGCTGCTGTACAACCATGATTTATTTGAAAGTTTTATTGTGAAGAAAAGAATAAAGGTGGAGGCGAAAGGGACTTAGTGCTGGCTTACCACAATCATTCCGATGTGCCTACAGTTCCAAACGCTCATTCAGGCAATCTAGATAGGAACTGACAACAAGATCACCACTGACATCGGTTAGAAGCGTCTACAACCACGCGCAGTAAGGATCACGCGGTCCCCATCCTGAAAAGCGAGTATCACAGACAGCACCCAAACGTTTCATTATTTCTTTTATACCCCTCTGCCAGATCAGGGGTTGGCCACCTCTCTGGTTCCGCCACTCTGAGATGGGCATGAAAAACAGCACTCTCTTCGGCAAACGATGGCTAAGCATACACAACACATGTCACAACCAACGCAGCTTCCGGTGCTGGAAATCCCCAGTGCGCAACCGAGGACTCGCTTCCTGATTGCCTCGCTGCGGATACCCCGACACCAACCCACACAAACTATGGTTCTGACAACGATTGTTGAACACCTGAAAACGGCTCAAATCCGTTGCTCGAATAGGCCAAGTCTCACAGTCATACAACAAAACAGCCCGCACTGTAGCTTGATACACACGTCCCTTGAGATTCAGAGATACACCACTTTGACGCCAAAGGTGTATCAAGTAAGCAAACGCGACGCGAGTCTTGCAGATTCATGCATTGACCTCATCCGTCACACTACAGTTGGAATGAATACAACTTCCAAGATGCGTAAGACGCTCCACAACTTCGAGCAAGACGATCTAGAAAAAGACTAACGGCACGAACGCCACTGAAATCCATTAGCGGTTATTTCTTGTAACGTCCCCAGTCGATCTCAGGCGGGGTCTAGAAGGACACTATCCTGGAAGGCATACTGCACCAACGACACCCAGACTCTCCTTTACTCCCTTTCACATCCTTCTGCCAAGTCGCACGTTGTCCACACCGCGGACTATGCCATTCTGAAGGAGGCGCAGAGGACAACACTCATACCGGTTGAAGTACCTGCCCAAGCCTAGACAGGGGAAGACGATAGGCAGAGGTAGGGTTTGAAACACGGACCTTCTGATCGATATATTCGCGCTCTAACCACTAAGCCATCTCGGCCCCAGAAAAGCCATGGTCCTATCAGAGATCCAATGTTTGGGTTACCGGGTTAACTGGGTTGTATCTTCAACAGAAGTTTCAGCTGTGAGTAGCACTGCGGATATCCGCTCCAAGTGGCCATTAATATTCCACACAGGGCAGTCCGGCAGGAGTTTGCGGATTCGGTTCTGAAAGCATGGCCTAGGTCAACTAGCTTCTCAAGGCTGAGTGAGTGGGGCAAGCTTTGCGTAGACCTAATGAGCCGAATGAAAAGAAGCAGCACACAAGTGCATGGTCAAAGTCCACGCTGGTGTTCCGGAAAAAGTGGCAGACGGCGATCAACCATCGTCACTGGTAAGTGACGGCGATGTGGTCGATTTGGATTCGGAACTAGTCCTTTGGTGGGCACCACTTTGTCAAGCGATTTCTGATGTTCTGCAAATTGATACTGAAAAAGGAACAGTCTGCGATCGGCACACACCTAAAGTAGACGACTCCCGTTGTTCGTGCATCTCGTATCCAACCAAGGACGACAACCCAATCGGACCTCAGCAGTACTTAGTTTACCTACCTGGACGTTCACGTCATCATTCACCAAAACGGTATATGAGCTTCTAGTCCATAATAAAAGACCAGCTAGATGGCCATAGAAACTTTGGCAGATTCAGAGCGACGATCCGTTGGGGCGTAAGCAAAACACACAAT